TGGGAGGTTACGTTATCCTCCAAAAATCGATGGGCATTTCTATAGTGCATTTGAGCATATTTAATTGTGGCAGGATACCGCGATAAGGTCTGAGGTCGGAGAAGGAAAGGTACACCTAGTCAAAAAGCATGTGGACATCTGAGGGTGCGACACGACGCGCGTTCTTCGAAAGATATGCCTTCATGGACTAACAGGGTTAGATCAGGGGCGCGACACGCCCTCCGTCTCACCGTCTGATTCTAGCCGTGTGGCGGAGAGAGCGCTAGCGTTGAAGAGGGCAGCAACGATGAGAGCCGCATCAATGCGGAAATGAGCAAGCGAAGAAGAGGTCTCATTTCTCGGGTTCTCGGCCGTTTCTCATTTTTGATCATTCCTGCATTACTGACCACCTCTACCCTAATTCTACGGGCATTTTTCATCGTGAACTCCGTCTTTGAAAAATGATGAAGAACAACAGAGTATTTCCTAGGTTCCTGGATGTCGACCTCTCAGCGCATCCCCGCCAAATCACGATCTCTGCTCCTTTTATCGTGTTCGCCTGTTCAAGAAAGGTGAGAACTGTGAACCTGACTTTTTTCGTAGGCACACAAGGTTCAAAAATTCTAATTTTTGTTTTTTTATAGCTGATGACGTCTGCGATGATCACCACATTGGCGGAGAACACTCGGCCACCTCCATCACGTGAACCACATGTGTGGTTCCGTGTGGCCGTTCATAGTCGCCTATCACAAAATTTACAGGTACAATCTCAAACTCAGAAATTTGGATCCGCATGAATGCGACAGCAACTGCAAATAGGAGAGTGAATAGGGGCGTCGATATGCGAAGAAAAGGAAGAGATTTGGGGAAATGAAAGAAGTATAGACAGACAGCAGTGAGGGAGAGGGTGAGAGATAGAAGATGAGGTTGTTAAACGAACAGAAGAGAAAGGCTGTCAAATAGACTGGCAGGCAGTACGACAATTAGACAAAATGGTACAGAGTTGAGAGGAACACGGAGAGAAGCAAAATAGGCTCCGGTGTTTTGGTGGGCCTGCTTGAGCTGATCTTACAGAGTTCAAAGGAAGCTGAAAATGAAGCGGAAGCGTAGGAAAGTGCACAAGTTCAGAGGGGCAGAAAGGTATTGGAGTAGGTAGGAAAGGGCGATGGAAGTAAAAGGAAGTCTATAAAATGACGCAAGCAGTGAGCGACATAGAGCAACACAAGGGACAGGGGAATCCATACTTCTGTTTCATAACAAACGATAAGGAATCCGGCGTTAATCAGTCTCCTCCCGGTATGCGCCATGCATTTTCATTCCATTCAGAATCGTGGAAGCATTTCAACCTATCCGCCGTTACGTGTGCACCTCTGTAAATTTCTGTCACTGGTTTTATCAGTAACCGATAATCTTGCAATCATTTATCATTATCTGATTACATGATATTTCTGTGCATGGAAAAGCATTCTGATGGGTTCCTTACTCAAAAAATGGTAAACAAATCAATGATAACAATCCTTTGTGGTGAGCCCAATGCAGTAAGTGGTCCGCAGTGAGTTTAACGAGGATTCCACGAGGAGAACGGAGGTCGAAGAAGAGGCAGCTTTACAGTAGAGTGACAGACAGGCCCCCTAGGGGTGCGGACCTACACGCAATTTGCATCGATGGATATGCCCTCGGCGATCTATCATGGCCTGTCTTTTGCTCAGTTGGCCCGGAACGCCCATCGACTATAATCACTCGCTGCAGGTTTATGCGCGGCAAGTGATTAGATAGCAGAGAGAGAGCGTTGGCGTTGAAGAGGGCATAAAGATGGGAGTTATCATCGCGAAAATTAACAGGCGAAGGTGGGGTCCCTTTTCAGATTTCAGGCCTTTTCACATGGTTTCTTTTTCATCCCTGCTTCACTGGCCACCTCTACCCTCATGGTTAGTTCCAATGAGCTCATCATTGTATTATCAGTTTGAAACACTGCGTGCATTTTTTTTCATCGTAAAATTCGCCCTCAGTAAGTTTCTGTACATTGAATCCCGGAGCCACATGATGTACATCGAGAATTCTATCCTCCCTTACGAATTCGGTCCAGACTCTCCCACTTCGGAGGGTTCGGAGGGGCCTGGATGGCCTGAGCAGAAAACAGTCTTGTGTTTAATCGGTGACCGTGAGCACTGTAAGTGGAGCCACTTGTCACTGCATCACCTTCACCCTTCAGAAGGTCATACCCAGTGGAAATTTGTAGGGAAAGATCCTCTTTATGAGGAATCTTCTAGATTGAAGTCGCTCCGACTTCTGGTGAGAAATGGTCGTCTTCGGTACGGAAAGCTGCTTCACCTTTCGATCCGAATCTCGTCTTCGTGCAGGTACTTTACCTTTCCTTCGTGTTAATTTTAGCCCTATTTCTGTTAATTTGTGCCCTAATATGGAAGGATACGATCCGCATCTCAGGCGCCCAATCCTGAAATCAGCAGCGGTGGTGGTGTACAGGTCACGGTAAGCATCCTGGAAGGTGGTGCCAGAATCAAGTGCTCAATCAAGTGCACAAGGGTGAGCTCCTCCTCATTCACCCTTTCCACTCTGTTTTTCATAATCTTATGTGCCATTTCAGAAAGATGGTTCCGTCCATGACTGCAAGGGCTCTGTCGATTTGCACTCTGAACCGGCACTCTCGCAGGAGGACGTCTTCACCAGTGATCAAGCAGCACTTCATCTGCTCGGGTGGAATATGCGCGGTCATCCAGCTCAATGGAGTCACAAAGTACCGTATCTTTCGTTCACCTGTTAGCAGCTTACTGTCTCGTGCGATTTCCCTGAATCTCATAGCACATTTCGTCATTGTCTTATCAGTTGAAACACTGCGTGCATTTTCTCGTTGATCTTCACGTTGGCGCTATTCAGAACATTCATATTACCCGGGAAGGGGTGGTGCGCTCAGCCGCTTTCTGGCACAGAACAGCTCAGCTAGGGCCACTTCTAGATACTAATAGAGTCCTTGGACTTGTGGTCTAGAGCGCACCAGGATCTCTCCGGTTCACAGAATAATTCTAATTCTATTTCGTTTTGTTTGTCTTGTATTGTCTATATTGTCAGCTCATTCTCGGGTATTTTGCTATTCACAGATGTTCATAGAGTAAATTTTTCTTTTTTTTGGATGCTCAAGCAGCAGAAAAACAGCTAACGCTGAAAGGAGGGCACGCCGAGATGGCTGTTTTGCGGACGGTGGGACTTCAGAAAGACTGACAAAAATCTTATCGAGCAAATTAGAGAGAAAAACCTGCTGTATGACTAAGAAGAAATCTATCAAATGTAATGAAAAAAAAACAAGAAAATTTTAATATTTTTCCTTTAAGGTCCCGCGCTTGACGGAAATGCAGCCTATATATGGACTGCATGGGCTCCAAATAGTTAAATTGGTATGTGGGACATATAAAACACTTCTTGGGGCACACATTAAGGCCCAACATGGTCTACGGGCATAGGGGAGGTGACATGGTGTATTGGATGCAGAAGGGAGAGGGGACTGGGCTCACATTTGCTCGGGGAAAGTCAAATGTCACGGATTCTCACTCAAATTTAGAACTTACGGTTCAAATCTTACGATTAGGGGAGTACGGCTGTCCACGATCCCATAGAAGCTGTCTGTACATATCGGAATCGCTTGGTGGGTCTGCTCACTTCCAAATTCTTAGAAAGCAGAAGGGAAGAATCAAAGATTTTTTTCCGACTTCTGCTCTGTACTTGGAAACCAAACTGTCAATTATCCTCCTTCGACAAGGTTGGTGTGAGCATTTTGGAGCCCATGTGGGTTGGACGCCATGGCCGGGGAAACTTATGAGACAGAACTTGGAGACCCAAATCGCTTCCGGAAGTGCTCCCATACCAATATGGATCACATAATCGCTCAAATGGCAGATTATTTTCTTGCATTTGAGTGTGTTGCGGTGTGATTGTTAGCCTACCTATCCCATTACTTTCTCAAACTTGAATTTCGTGATTTTGGGGAATCACTGTTCTAGGAGCGATTACGGTAACCTCGCAAAGACACGAAGCACCACCTCGTAGTAGATGGGCCGGTTAGGCGTATGGTAACCTGGAGCTCATGTCCCGTAAGAGCCCATGCGGTAAGAGTCGGCCTTTCGCCACACCTTATAAATGTTGTCCTCGACTGTTTACTGTTACCGTTCGAATCTCCTGCTCAATCAAATGTCGTGACCTAATGAGGTCGAACAGACCCCATTGACCAGTCTATTGATCTCCTCACACTCCCACGCTGATTCCCGGATGGGAAACCGAGGGTGGAACAGCGAACATGATTACGATGAGAGCGATGCTTCATCATAGCTTCGCGACAGACGACCATCACAGTGACTTGGAGGATCATCGATCATCGACGGATGCACAAATCACAGCGTATTACGACGCAATCATTAGCGTAATCCAGCCATCAAAAGCCTGATTAATACTCATGACAATAAGCAAATCAATCGATCTGCTTTGGAACCTCATCTTCCGCGCTAATTTTCACAAAAAGTCTGCCGCGATTTCTCTGCATGGAAACTTCCACTGCTACAGACAGATAGGAAAAACAGACCTAAAGTCACACCTGGCCTTGGCAGAGATGCTCAGACGAACATTTGATACGGCTGCCAACGTAAACTATCTAAATCGCATCGCAATAAGCAATACAATCGATAGATTTGACACAAGAGGTCCATTACATCCATGGATCAATTGCAAATAATGCTCTATGACCACATATTGAGTTCATATGTGTTAAGTTTGTGCCAGGAATACAAAGGGCATACAACAAAACAACTGCCCCCGGTGAGGCTCGAACTCACGACCTCCAGATTATGAGACTGACGCGCTGCCTACTGCGCTACGGAAGCACGTCGGGACAAGCTCAGAATAGTTGAATGAGCAAGAACCGTAACCATTCCACCGAAAAACCTGAGGGTGAAGTTAAACTTTTCGAGATCTTTTTCAGTTTTTCACTTACACCTTGACGTTTGAGCCTAACCAGTTGGTCCCGCTTAGGCTCGAACTCACTACCTCCTGAATAGAAGACTTAAGCGCTACCGACTGCGCTAACAGGCAGCTGTAGCAACAAGGACAGTCACTTTTTCCGGTGATTGAAGTTTTGTGACGGGTTTCCAGTTACATCGTCGCTGCCAGGCTTGCGAAAGTCATAAACCATCCCAAGCCAAGCCCACCAAAACAATTGCTCCCGGTGAGGCTCGAACTCACGACCTTCAGATTATGAGACTGACGCGCTGCCTACTGCGCTACGGAAGCCTGCGCTACGCTGGGCAGACGAGCCAGATGTCAAAGAACAAAAACTCGTCCACCGAAAAAGTGTAAATTTCGTTTTTCGTGATCTGTTTTTCATTTACACCTTCATTGCCATAGTCTTTACGAGAATGAAAATTTAAGCCACGGTTAGAAACCGGGTGAGGCTCGAACTTACGACATCCGGGTTATGAGGCTCACGCGCTACTCGCTCCGCTACGTAAGCTCTAAACAGCACACCTATATCAACAAGGACAGACTCTTCACGGGGACTGAAGCTTTGTTACGGGTTCCCATTCACACCATCACTGCTACAGCGCTTCGTAAACTAATTAACCACAGCAGGTTGAGCCGAGCAAAACACTTGCTCCCGGTGAGGCTCGAACTCACGACCTTCAGATTATGAGACTGACGCGCTGCCTACTGCGCTACGGAAGCACGTCGCTGGTGCACTTGGCACCGTATATGAACTGTCTGTTGCTTTGCAACACCTTGAAGTTCATGAAGTCTTAGCCCACGAGTTTAGGTCAGTCGTGTGAGGAATTTACGAGCACACCGAGAGTTCCGTTCCGAACATGCAAAAAGTTCGCGTTTTCAATGAATATTTTTAATTCATTTTTAATTATTTTTTATTAGTTCCTGGCTTTATTAGTGTTTACAATGTTACTATTGACCATTGCAGTGGTGGCTTCAAGCTTCCTTTTTCCGGTTTGACACCTCCTAGTCAGGTTCTGATTTCTTTGTTCTGAACGTCTGGTTCTGATAAGATAGGCTCAGCGGCGGGGCCAGGTCAACTGTACCCAGAGTCCACGAAGCAAGGATATTCGTAAGTCTCCAACCAGAGGTACAGTGGCGCTCAAAAGTATTCGGCCAAATGCTTTCCCGGCCGTAACTTCTTTTCTGCTGGATCAGTTTGGTTCAAATTTGGATATGATCTGAGGGCGAGTCTTTCTCACAAATCCAGCCCATTAATAATCTATAGCAGCAAGAGTGGAGGAAG